ATATATATATATATATATATATATATATATATATATATATCGAAATTATTTTGATTAATATTTATATAATATATAAATTGCATGATTAAATTACAATTATATAATTACATATTATATATTAAAATTTTTAAATATTAAATTTCTTTTTATCATGATACATTTTTGATACATGATACATATTGATAATCAATAGTTATATATTCCACTTTCCTTTCTAAACTTTTTATGAATGAAAATTTAATATCGGGTTCGTTTTAATTTTTCAGGAGTAAGAACGAATGCACGCCCGAAGTGAAATGTTCCCATTCAACATGTACAGAACAGATGACAAGTTGCGCCAACGATCACAGTTAATTTTGACTACATGATAATACTTTACAACCAATTTGCAATTTTTCTTCGATATACGACGCCGATTTCTCGGATTCGTGTGAATATTTGCTAACGAATACGATATTCGTTATTACACCCGTCGTATACGATCACCACTTCGTTGTAAAACTTTTATAGTCATTTTTCGTTTTTTATAACGAATTTCCAAACTATAGCGAAATAACGTTCCTATATATGTTACAAGGACAAACACATCATCGTCTTTCGATTACCGATTACTAATTTTCTTCTAGTCTATTAATTTAATTTAATTTGAGATTTCGGATAAATATTGAAATTGTTTGATTGTACCAAAGACAAAACTCACACAATATTGATTTTTTTTCAAGATATCGGCAAATTATTTTCGATTGCCGAATGTTTGTGGCACAATTATTATTATTACGCCAAATATTGAATCGATATTCATTATCGTAGCTATCTCATCCATTCTCATATTTAAGAACTTTCCTTTTTTTTTTAAATTTAAAAATACATACATTGTATTAATTGTTTTCTATTATTATTATTATTATTTATCATCATCATCAATTATCATCGTTATCTCTATCATAATCATCATAGCTCTCTTTATTATTATTATTATTATTATTAATTATTATCATGATCATCATCATTTAAGATCATCAGTTATTATTATTTTTTGGCTGTTTTACATAAAAGTGTGCCTTGCAAGTGTTGCTGCGACGTAAATTGTATTTCTTTTTTTTTTTTTTTGTTGCGTCTCAGCTTGCGTGTTAATAGCAAAACGTATATATAATCTAATCACACAATGATCGTTTTCTCCTTTTTTTTCTTTCTCTTTTTACGTTCTTTTTTATTCCTTAAAAATTGCATACGTTACGTAGGAGTGATTTTAGCTGCTATATTTGAATTAAAAATTACAAATTGACACGAGATATATAATTTACGATAACGAATATTATAGTAAGATACTTTATTAACAATTGAGATATTGTGAAAATGAAACTCTGTACGAATAGCGAATTTCTTCGTTACGTGAAATATTTGAACTTGTATCTACATTTTTAATTCGATTTTATTATATATATTTAATATTATTCGTTATATATTTCTAAAAATGTTTCGAGCACAACGCCTATATAAGTTTATCGCTTTGATCCCTTGTCATTTTCGTGCGAATCTCTTCTATATTTTCGTTTCTACATTTTTCTTCGAATATTTTCTCGAAAGTTTTTAATTATTTGCTGTAAATCTTTGACTGATTAGACATGGTCTTCCGCTTACTATGTATGCGTTTTCTATTCATATTTTAAAATAAAGTACGCTACTCGAACAAGCATCGTTCGCCTGCCCATTGTTAAAAATTGATGTTTCTTTTTTCTACGTGACATTTCAATCTAGTTTCCAGTAATTGTAAAATAAATTTTAGTGGTATTTAAAATCGCGATGATGGGCGACATGAATCCTATAAAATTACGATTTTATAACGAAAGATTCGAGAAGGAAAAAAAATATTTTCGACTGCATGAAAAATTTGTAGCTATCGCGCGAACAAAACCACTAACCGTTAAATTTTACGCGAAACATGATGTGATCCCAGAATGCGAGATTCGACAAGAATATATCGATTTGATTTCGAAACGATTACTTCTAACCCCAAAGGATATTTATACGTTCAGACCACCGACAGTGAATATGGAGTACGCATAATATGAGTACATCGAAAACAAATACACGTTATCCCTTATAAAATAATCTTTTCGTTCGTGATTCAAATTTTATAGATATGGTTGGTTTTCCGAACTTTTGATACCTCGAACGAAAGATCCACGATTATGCTTCCCTAAAAAGCAAACGGATTTCATATCTAACGAGCTTAAAATACGTCACATACAAAGAGGTTTACCGATCGAAAAATTTGTCGGAATACCATTCAAAGTTTAAAGCACGCCGTATCAATCATACAAACGATTGTCGATAAAATTCAATATCGATGTTATGCCCGTCTCGTTTCCTGGCAACAAACGAACAACACAGATCCCGCTTCAACATGCTATAGGCCAAACAATTTTGCGTATATATCGTTTCCTTGCTCGAGGAAACGTGTTTTGAAAGAAACGCCATTTGGAGGGTGATCGTGCGATTTTTTTGAGCAATTGGACGCCGCCGATCAACCTCACAGGCCCCCTCTTTGATCGTAAACGTTTATCAGTTTAAGCTACCGAAGAAAATGATTTTGAAATAAAAAAATGATATTTTGATATCTGATACCTGTTGGTTAAACGAAACGATCATGGCGGGGAAAGGTTTCTGCGTAAAAATACAACTTGAATTACACGCTGTAAGTATCATAATTGAATTTCAACAATCGGTCAATATTCAATGTTAAACTTATGCGAAATAACCTCTTTTAGATAACGTGTCCGGGTGTATGGTTGTGTCCCAATGGGAAAATAGCGCTGCGAATAACCAGTCTTGGTTCCATCCTAGAATCCCACAGAGTATCACCGATTTTTCCACTATTATTTCACAACGAGTTTAACTTTAAGAAAACTTTCACACGACTGGCTGCTTTGACAGAGTTGCAACGGATTCTGGAGAAAGAGCCTTTTTATGCGGAATTGATACAATGGCTTAACCCGTGTAACCAACCCATCATCTTGGCCACCTTTCATACTAATTTAGCTGATCTTCTCTATCCCGTAGCTCAGTGCAAACATTTACTACCTGGAGTCGACATTGATCTACTTATGGATCCCACCAAATATTTTCCTGTTAGTATCTTCTTTTTTATTTCTTCCTTCGTACAAGTTCAATTAAATATTATTTTTTTGATTTTATTTATGCAGGGTATTATAGCACCTAAAATCGAGATTTCGACAAAAACAATCATAGAAGTGAAAACGATTTATGCTACAAATCTTGATCAATCTTGTGTATTCAATACGAAAACAATCGATTCTAAGGTAAAATATTATAAATATTATTTTAATATTTATTTTTATTATCTAATGCGTCAATCAATTATTAATCGATTGATTCAACAAATGTGATTTTTAGAAAAAATCTTATACCCACAAAAAACGAGCCGTCAAAGGTATTATCAGGCAAAGAAAAGTTTGTCATACTCGAGCGAAATCGAAAAATCAAGTTTGCTATCCGTAAGTATTATAAATTTTTTATTATTATAATATATAATATTTATCAATAAATGAATATAAATGAAATTATACTATTTGAACTTCATATACAAATATCAAATGTAAATATGGCATACTTTCACAGTCCACGATATAGATGCAAATCATGCAACGATATGATGTGTCCATATCAGATTGAATCGTCTCAAAGTAGTCAATGTTACCATCCGTTGAAACAGAAATTAAGAAGTCGAAAAAATCTTGCCATCGATGTTGATACAAATGATACATTGCCATCATATAAAACACCTTTTATTTGTGACAACCTGCATATCTTTGATAGCTGCCCTGTCTGTTTGAAGTATAAATGTTATTTTTCTTCACAGTGAATGTGATGGTACTTCTCCCGATAAGTCGATTCCAATAAACTTGTATAATTATCAACATTACGGATATCACTATTGTTTACCGAGTAATAAGTTGTCGCGAGAACCTATTTCTACGTAAGTTTATTGTACATATGATGCAATTGTTTTTTAAATGATTCGATCAGTTTATTTTTCTTTTTTCTTTTTTTCTTTCTTTTGTTCTTGTTTTCGTTTTTATTTTTGCAGAGTACCAGGCTTGACATTTTCGGCAAAGGATTACAAATCAAATGTATAGATTCCATTGCTCGTTAATCGTTTTTTTATAATAAAATGAAATCATCAAGAAAGAAAAATACACAAAAATAACAACATTTTATTGTATGCAGTAATATTTTATTCAAATTTTGAAATTTGAAAAATCTTATAAGAATATTTATTTTCTTTCAATTATTCGATAAAGAGGCAAAAGATAAATGCGATTTTAAATCGATCAAGTGTAAAGCAATATTAATAATTTCAATCAACCAGGATAAAATTCGAAACTTAATTTAATATTTAATGAATACTCTTCGTCCTAATGAATGCAATGGAGTACCTTGAATTCTCGAACCACGAAGACACACTGATTTGCTTAACAATGCTGGACATCTGAAATATATTCCACGACCTTCTGGTGTCCATGCTCTTAATGAGACACTATCGTTTTCAAATGGTGTAATTGCGATCCAACCTATCGATTCATTAAATCAAACTATATTAAAATCATTTCAATCACTGTTTATTATACAGATTTACCTATACTTGACAATACAATATCTCCAGCAGATTCATTTTTCACACCAGTTACTTTTATATCCTTCGATTTTAATTTCGGCCATATTTTTAATCGTTTTTTATCGTTTGTGGGTACGACGAAAGCTTCAGTTTCTAACAATTGATCATATATCTCCTCTGCATCAAAAGTATGACATATTGTTATAGGTAATTTTTTACTTGCAAACAGCGTGCATCTATTTTTCAATAAAAAGGAATATATAAGAAAATTTAATTTTTTTTAATTTAATAATTCTTTATCTGCATAATAATTTCTTTTTCAACGTGCAACAAAAAATATAAAAATTATATATATATATGTATACCGTATAAAATATTCTCCTTCAAGATAATCTAATCTTCCCATACCAGCTATAAATATAGTTTGTTTTGGTCTAAATACGAATGTTCTTGGTGTAATAATTTCTTGCGGTAATGTTAACAATAATTCATCAGTAGTTAATAAATCTAGTATTTGATCCTTCTGAATAGTACCTGGAGTATCATAACACCAACGACTATGTTCATATTCTGGTTCGGATTCATTTAAAAAAATTTTTTTCGTCATAAATTTATGCGACTTTTCTAAAAAAGGATCGATACTCTCATCTTTTTCCGAGTATTTGGTAAACGATTTACCAACATATTCTAAATATAAATAAAAACTCCATTTAAATGAATGTTCGATTTATAAATTAATAAAAATTAACAAAAAGATTAAAAATTTTTTAATTACCTTCTAATGTTGCAAATGTCATATTTCCTGTTTCTTTAAATTTATAATCCCTATACTTCGATTCTTGCATCCTATAAAATTTTTCTTTGATAAGCCTTTGTATTCTTAACGAATATTTTTTTCTATTTGGATTTAATATTGGAAATTTGAGTAAGTTTAATGTAGTTCCTGGCCAAGCAGATACTGTAGCGCGTTGTACGAGATCGACAGCTTGTACTTTACAATAATCAGAATTTAATAACGTATTGAACAAAGAAGATTTTCCAACATTTGTGCAGCCAACTAAATATACATCGCCTGAAATATGAATAATTATGAAGTATACAGAAAAATATGAAAAAATAAAAAATATAATTGAAAATTTTTTCTTATAAATCATATCAACAGATACCTTTATATCGCCATTTGTGCTGCAACTTATTTATCAATTGTTCTATACCATATCCAGTTTTTGCAGATATGAGTTGGATGTGTGTAATGTTTTCTTTCTTTACACCAGTTACATGGACTACTGTATTTGCTAAGAGTTGTTTAATGTTCTCAAGGAACTTTGGAGAATCTCTAGGCAATAAATCAACTTTATTCCCAACAAGAAAAATAGGAGTAAAAGGATGCATAATACTTTTTAAATCAGGCCAAATGCTGCAAGGAAAATCAGTCAGATCGATTATAAGAATAATGGCGCATTTTTTAGTTTTAATCACTTTCAGTAAATTAGGATAATCTTCAATAGATACTTTCACTTCCAAAGCTGAATTATAAAACTTCAAAAAATGACATCTTTGACATATTGTTGATTTCAAGTCTTCATCATTATTCTTTGAAAATAATTCCAATGGTAAATACCCAGGAATTTCTGGATCTTTGCAATGCAGTAAAGCACCGCAGCCACCGCATGGTATAGAACTGACTTCTGAATCAGGATCTGATGTACCATAACAATTATACCAATATTTGTTAAGTAAAGTATCATCAAACTGTTCATAATCAGTCATCCAAGTAGATGGAATTTTCCATAATTCTCCTTTTGGTATCCTATTGTTTTTTTCTACATCCTCAAACATAGGAATATTTTTGTCATCATCCAAAGCATTCTGCTTTATTTGCAAATATTTTTCATACATTTCTTTGTACTTTTCATTTGGTAAATTTATATTTGTTTTTTCTGTATTAGTATCATCTAGCATTTTTGTATCAATTATTTCATATGAGTCTACTGCCGCATATGGCATATATACAGGTTTTTGTTTTTTCACAGTTTCGTTTTCATTATCAATCTTTTCTTCATTTTTTTCTTCTTTGAGAATATTAGTTTCTTTTTTATCCTTTAACCATTCATTTAGCATAATGCTATATGTTTTTTTTTCAGTCATTTCGAATCTCATCTTTTCTTTTTGTTCTATTCTTTGTTTTTTTATTTCTTTATGTTTTGCATATCTTATTTTTTCATAATCTAAATAATCGCAATATAACAATTTTTTTCGAAGAGATAAAACTTTTGGATTCACCTTAGATACAATATTCCTATATAAAATTGTTTTTTTAAATTGCCATAATCTTAAATTATGATACATATTATGATTACATAATTGAAATAAACAAAATTTTAGATTCGACATTTGATAATATATAATAATATTATTTAAGATATTTTTTTAGAATATTTTTTCTTATTATTTAATCTGTTGAATATATCGATATTTTTTTAATATTTAAAATTGAAAAATATATCAAAATTATCACACAATATTAAATATCATTTTTATTATGATTTGTATTAATTAACATAACTATTAATAATTAATAATTAGAATACAAATATATTTCCAAAAAGATTATACATAACCTATAAACATTATTCATACATTGTAAGTAGATAGATACAAGTGAACAAAGCTACGAATCAAAAACTATCGAAA